GGTAGAAAACCGGGAAATATCCGCCAGCCCCCGGAAGAAAACTCGAGGCTGCTTGTTGCCGAGTCACGGCGCCCGGTTTTTGCTGGGATATTTTATAATTTTGATAAATTCTGGCGTGTCCGGGCTTATTGGCGGAGGCGCACCAATGGGGGAGTCGCAATTTGGGGGTTGGGACAACGTGGCCTCTGGCCTCAAATGTGGCCACGCGAGCAGTGTGCCTCTTCTTCTATCGGATCCATCCCAAACACCAACCTCTTCCCAAACACCCCCCACACAACACAATGTCGGCCAAGCCTTGCACCAAGTGCGGAAAGAACGCTTACCCCCTCGAGTCCCTCAAGGCCGGTGACGACACCTACCACAAGCTCTGCTTCAAGTGCGCCGAGTGCAACGTCGTCCTCAACCTCAACACCTTCAAGAAGGCCCAGGGCAACATCTACTGCGCCACCTGCACCCCCAAGCCCAAGGCTACCGCCGTCGCTGATGACGTCCGCACCAAGTCTGCCCTGAGTGCGTCACCCCACTCCATCTTCTTTCTTTTTTTCCATCTTTCAAAATCCATCTTCCCCTTCTCTACACTTTTTTTCTACACTGCGATCTTTTCATCTTTTAAACTTCTTGTGCTCACCAACTCAATCTATTTGTTTCGAACAGGCGCCCCCAAGGTCCAGTCTGGCTTCGTCGCCGCCCACAAGGGTGACTCCCGTACCGCCCCCAAGGTGGCCGACTTCACCCAGGACAAGGTCACCCAGGCCGGTGAGTTCGAGTCCGACGCCGCCCCGTCGACCGCCGACACTGCCGCGTACAGGACCGACCGCGTCGGTGACCTCCAGTCCGGCGAGTTCGAGTCTGAGGCCCAGGCCTCGCGCGCCGACACTGCCGCCCACAGGACCGACCGCGTCGGTGACATCCAGGCCGGCGAGTTCGAGTCGAACCCCCAGCACAGGACCTACGAGTAAATCGTTGATGACGATCATCAGCCCCCACAAGATGTCGTCCTCCAGCGCGAGACTGAGATGATACCAAGGACCACCGCATCTCCCCCTCCTCAGCCTCCGCTCAAGAACACCATGTAACTGTAAAAATAAAAAGTTAAAAAAAACCTCGTCGCCATCTTCCTCTTTTACTTCCATCTACTGAATCTAATCGT